GTACGATCGTGCTTCCGCTGGCTCGGCGGTCACGTCGGTCAGTGTCGTGTAAGTGGACATTTTGTGTTGTGCGCTAGGCTCACTAGAATACAAGTCTGCGATTGAGGTTCACGAGGCAGCAGCGGCGTAGACCGCTATCCTAGTATCAAACCTCTTCATCAGTGTCAATCAGGTCTTCCATCTGAATCTGGGACTTGGTCTTCCGAGTTGGTCTTGTGGTCGAGCTGGGTGGTCTACCCAACGCATCGATGGGATGCGAGTTCAAGGGACTTCCCTGGGCTTGCCATTCCTCATAAGCAGCCGTGACAGGTCCTGTGATCTTGTCAAGTGCATCTGATATATAGGAAAGGGAAGAAAGCGCGCTTAGACACGGATCGCCTCGCCCGAGCTGATCCGCACCGCAGCTGGCAGCGTGCTGCAGTCGCGCATGTATATGCACTCACCCTTCATCGTCGCCTCGTCAGGGGCATGTCGCTGTCTCAAGGCAGCCCATCGACGCTGCATCGACGCCACGTCCCAGCACCAGTCCTCCTTTTGGAAATCTCTCCAGTGGATCAAGATGTCGTCATTCTCATCGATAGCTTGAGTCTGCGTCTTGAGCCTGCCATAGTTGCGACGGCAAGGAGTTGCATCAGGAAATCAACGATGCGTCCGACCATTGTGCCTCGCATAAAACTCACATCCCCATCAAGAGAAAGTCATCACGAGCACGAATCCACCTGATTGGCTGTCCTCGTTTCGCGCGCTCTGATCTGCAGAAGATGGTTTCCCTGTTCGAGGTATGAGTACAGCCTCATGCAATATCAGCTTCGTACTCCTCCAGCCCGGCACAGAATCGACATGGCCTCTGGAGAAGAAGCACTGACCATTTATCCCTGCACATCTGGGCAGTTCTGCTCTTTACGCCCTTCTCGACCGCAAGCCACGAGAATCTCTGATCCCCTTTCAAGATCTCCGCAGGTTGAATCCCCCTCTTCTCACACTGGTCCTCCACCGTCTGCAGCAGCCTGAGACACTCTTCTTCCGACCATTTGCCCTTTTCGGCAGTTCTCTTGCCGAGCTCGAAAGCATAGCGCGACCTACAAGCATGTCCAGGCCTGTTAAGCTCGTTGCCTATTCGCTCCCAGCGAGGGCCATGTCGGTCATAAGCTCTGCAATCGGGAGATGAGCATGACCGAAAGAAAGATCAGCCCGGCCAAGTTCTTGTTCCGACTCGGCTGTGCGCCTTGCTTAGTGACGTACTGCATCAATCCTTCCACTTCCTGCACTTTCCATGTACCCTTGATCACTCTGTCCGGATTCCACATTGCACTGCAGTGTATTCTCAAATTGCGTGCAGGCCGATCCCCCAGCTTTCGCACTGTTCGTACATGACGTGAAGTGCTCAGAATTTCAGTATGCGCTCGTCAAGATGCGCACGCGGGAGCCAGGACATCTCTCACCCAGGTACGATGTGAGACTGGCGTACAGCCGTGCATGTTCTGCCGTTGGTCGATCTAGGAACAAGCCCTTTACATTGTCCACCGTCATGTCATTATTCTAGGTTGCACGAGGCGTCTCAATGTAGTCAGCAGCAGTAATCGAAGCGCATACAATCAAAGGTATCGGCTCGCATTTCCTGCTCACCCTAGCAAACTCTTCCGCGCCCTGTTCGATCATAGCATCCTCCGCCTTGCTGAAGTGGCTAGACTTCCACTCCAAGCCATAGGCCTCCTTGAGCCACTTGAACTGTTTAGGCATGTAGAGCTTCTCCAACATGTCGACGTGAGAGCAGTCCATGTTCGCAGCAATCAATGCCTCCTTGTTCTCGCGCTGATCCACCTCGGCTTTCTGGATAGGGCCGGCCGAGGCCCATCTTTTGTCCGCGATGGTGGAGCCCATACCTGATCCTGCGCCGTAAGATGAGATGCCCGCGCCGATTGAGCGGCCGGAAATGCCTGCGCTCGAGCTATTGGCTGCGAATGGCACTCGCGAAGCCTGATCAGAGGAGGAAGATGTCGCCTGACCGGCGCCGGAAGCGCTTTGCCCATGCGATGAAGCGCGTTGAGATGAAGAAGAAGCACCGAGCCGATCTGCCATCGATCTAAAGTCAAAGTTGGGCGGGAAATGCGAAGCGTGGGCATTTCGCTGCTGCTGCTGCTGCTGCTGTTGCTGTTGCTTTTGTTGCTGGGCGCGCAGAAAGGGGTTTGTGGATTGTATCGCCGGGCTCACTGGTGCAGCAGGTGTCGCACGTGTTGCTGGGATCGGGATCGAGCTTGAAGAGAGCATTGCTGAAGATGAAGCCGGTGCTAGCTGTGCACGCGCCGCTACCCCAGTCTCTCGCTTCCTGACTGTCTTCTCCAGACGTTTCTCAACATACGCTGCCAGCTTGTCATGCTGTTTGCGTTCTCTTTTGCTTTCGTTAGCTTTCGACCCCAGGGTCAAGCGGGCTTTGTCTACTTGCTCAGGGATGATGTGCTCCTTGCGGATGCCTTTAGAAAGTTGTTCGGAAAGGAAACGCTCGACCAGCTCCGCGGCCATGATCTTGAGCTGCTGCTTGGACAAGTCTGCCAGTGGGGCAGAGAGATTGCTAGTCGCGATTGCGCCGGTGACTGTGCTGTCAGTGACATGGGCGGAGTCGTTTGAGGCGCGCTCCGCTTCCAGACGGCGCTTCTTCCCAGTGTGTCGATCCGCTCCGCTCTCCGTCACTGACCCCGATCGCTTTGCTCCAGCCGCAGCGGTCGAGCTATTCGCTTCCTTCGACCTGGGCACAGACAAGGCGCCCAATGGCTCCCCAGCATTGCCGATTGCCGCTTCAGCATGGAGACGAGATGCTGGCGCAAGGGTGGAGCTGCTATTCGCTTTCCTCTCCTTCCTCGCCCTTCTGCTCTCCCGCCGCTCAGCTTTTTGCAGCTTTCGTTGACGCTTCGCTGCTCTCCTAGCCCTGCGCGCCTCTTTCTCCGCGCGACGCTGTTCTTTCTCCCGTGCTTTGTCAGCGGACATTGCCGAAAGGATGCAGATGGATGTGAGCGTGTCAGTCTATTTGATGCGAGTCGGTGCCGGTGCGCAGCCCTATGGCGGTCTGCTCTAAATCATGATGGGCAGCGGACCTTGGAGAGGATGTTGTGAGCTATATAGCCGCCTGTATGCTGTGCTCGCCTCGTGCCAGTGCCGGCAGGATGACACAGGCGATGGCTGGCGTTGAGGGTGAAAATGACAATCACAAGGTGCGACTTGAACAAAGATTCAATTCCAATTCCTGCTGCTCGCTGCTCGCTGCTCGCTGCTCACCGTTCGGATGGAAGGAAAGCATGGATCGTCAACGTTCAATCACGTGAATCAAAAAACTCACTCAACACTCCGACTCAAAAACTCAAAGACTTGACTTGACTGTTGTGATTGAATCTTGACCCTTGAATCCAAGCCCGTGCGCGTGAATGCGCGCGCGTGCTGCAGGACATTTTTAAAGGGATCGCTCACGTGATGCGCGCAGCGCGAAGATCAAGCCGCGGGCTGGCTTGGACTATGCACTCGCGACTCGCGACTCCCCTCTGAGCCGTCGTTCGCAGCAGCAGCAGGAGAAAAGGCCGACGGGGGCACACGACAACGACGAGGCAGCCAAAAGGAGCATGCATGCATGCATGCACGCATCCCTCGTATGTCTCCTTCCCTTCCCACCTCGCCACCCACCACCATCCACCATTTGTCGCAGTCACACGCCTCTTGCTCGAGCACGACTGAGCTCACAGCGACACCATACACTCTCGCTCACCACCTAGTCGCAGAGACAGCCCTTACAAGAGCCCTCGCCCGTGACTTGGCTTCTCTCTCATCCACCCCTTTGCACCCCGCTAGCGCCAATCAACATGTCGCTCACCATCGAAGCCAACACGCCAGCTGCGCAAGCGCTTCAAACCTCCATCCAGTCTCACCTCGCAAGTCGAGGCTGGGCAGATAAGGATGACGAGGTGATGGCAGAGTACGGTGAGTCACCGGCGAGGTGCCCAAGCGCCGCACACGAGCGCATACACCCTGATCATTTGCTTCCCTCCTCATCGTCGACGCGCTGTGACAGTGGTGGTGATGCTCAGCAACTCAAAATCCGTGGACCAAGTTACTGCGGAAATGGAAGAGATCATTGGCAACGACTTTGACCCGCGCAGTTTTGGCAAATGGTTGGAGCAGGAGATGAGCAGAGGCGCAAGAGACGCGAACCAGCGAGACGTAGTGGGCAGCAGTGGAAGTAGCAGCAGAGAAGCGCCAGAAATCATGGAGAGCACACGTAGGGGTGGCACAGATGAGCAGAGGAGGAGCAGAAGCCCGAAAGTCGAGCGCAGAAAGCAAGAACTGGGCTACGATCAAGGGCCCTTTTCAGGCGAGCGCAGGCGGAGCAGAAGTCCTCAAAGATCAACATTCGGCAGGCGGGCAGATACGTACCGGCCGGGAGCGGCCCAAGACAGGAATCGTCGCTTCGACTTCTCGAACGGGCAATCGCGGGATGATTATTACAGGTCTGGTCCAGGGCTCAGAGCCTGGGGCGGCCAAGACCACTCAGCCAGAGACCAGCAATACCCGCACGAACATCTACCGGGCAGAGGGAATCGCACCGCGATGGACTCGCCCGCTTTCGCTTCGATGCCCGCTGTTCGGCAACCACCACAGAGCGATGAGGATGCGGCCATGATGAGCAGCTCGCCACCTACAGGCCCTCGGCACCTGAGGGTTCGGGGGGCTGCAGGTGCTGGTGGGGCGCTCTTCGCCAGGGCCATGGCTGGTGCTCCTCATCAAGACAAAGCGGATGATTTGGTCGCTCAACCTGCGCCTTCCATCCTTTCGCGCTTCGCCGTTCCGGATCCACGAGCTGGCGTTTTTGAGCCAGCTCAACAGACGACTGCCGCTCAGCCTGCTCAACACCATGTCGCACGTCCGGGCGTGTGGGCCCCTCAAACAAGCACCAACGGCTCGTCCGCTCCATTGCTCCATCGTCTCGATCCCATGCTACCCAACAACCAATTCTCGTCGTCGGATGCGATGAGCGTCGATGAGGTTCAGCCAGCTCAACATTCTTCCGACTGGCCTAGTCAACCCGCGTCCTCCGGACTGTGCAGGTACGGACTACAATGCACCAATCCGATGTGCTCATTCGCGCATCCTTCCCCATCTGCAGCATCAGCAAAGGGAGGTCCTGCAGCCAACGCTCAGTCCGAAGACCCCTTGGTCCTCGACCCCACTCCTTGCAAGTTTCAGGCTTCGTGCACCAAAAGGGATTGTTCGAGGAGTCACGTCAGCCCTGCACAGCTCTTCCTGGGTGGACGCAACAATGCCAGCGGGTCAACTCTCAGCGTCGATCCATCTCAGACTCCATGCAAATTCCAAGCAGCCTGCACGAATGCAAAATGTGCATACGCGCACTTTGATCCGAACACTGGAGCAGCTGGACCCAGTCCTGCTGCCCTCACGCTCGCGACTGCATCGACGACGCCAGCCGATTTCAGTCCCGCCAATGTGCCCTGCAAATTTGGTTCGGCTTGCACCAGAGCTGATTGCAAGTTTGCGCACACGCAAGCACGTGACGAGCCATCGGGTGGCGATGCAAAGTGCAGATTTGGAGCTGGATGTACGCGAGGTGAGTGCGGAGTGGAGCAAGCGAATACCAGGTCATGAAGCATTATTGTGATTCCTTTTGGGACTGACGCTGAATCTGGCGTCTCGTGATGACACCCCCGCAATGTTCAGCCGACTGCCGCTTCGCGCATCCTCTTGGTCGAGCGATAGATATCGCGGGCTACTCGGGCTTGTCCAATGGCTCGATTGGTGCGCGTCCGATCGATGCGGATACCGAATTGGCTGCTCGTCGGACGCAGCGCTTCGGCGTCAATTCCGGTTCTGGGCAGTCCAGCGATGCTCCGCTCAAGGATGAAGATGGACGACCAGGGATTCGGGACGTGGAGGACGACGACATCGAACTTGTTTTGCCCGGCTCTGGTGGAAACACCTCTGGCACGACGGAAAGGAGGTCCGTCCAGCCTGTTGCCTAAGCTTTTGGCAGGCGCAGCTCGTGCCCCGGCGAAAGAGTTGATCGACGGCGGGAGCTTAATTGTCGCCTTTGTAATTTAATACAACTCCTTTTCAGAGGCGCAACTCCGCCTTGCGCTCAGTCTGGTCTGATCTGAAACTCGGCCGTGCGCCCGTCTCTAACACGCTGCGTTGACGCCTCGACGACTCTGCTTGGTCTCGGATCTCGTCCAAGTGCCTACCCACCTGACGGTCGTGTTGTCAGGATACACAACGACTTTGTCTCTCGCACTGACGCCGAAGGCTCGTAGTCAGTCAGCCTATATAACTTTGGGACACTCATCCAACGAGTCGTCAAGCTAAGACCTTGAGATTTTTGAGGCCTCGCGATGACACACGCCGACCTTGGTCTCCGTCTACAGGATCGATGCACCTCTTCATCTGCAGCTTCATCCACCAGAACGTTGGTCGCTAGATGCCGCCCGCAACGAGTCACTGTGGGCGGTTCATGAAGCCCGAATAGGCTTCAGCGGCGGCGGCGGCGGCGGCAGTGAACTGAGAAGGCTCCTCTGGAGCTGCAACACGCTGCGCTGCGTACCTTAGCCTAGTCTGGATATGAAGCTTGTTGATGAGGTCATAGGTATGTATGCGCGTCAACATGAATTCACAACATGTCGCTGGACCGGCCATTGCTTGTCATAAGAGGCATGCCCTCTGGCCTTCTTTTTCTGATTGCCCCAGCCAGATCACCGCGACAGCGCGTCATCTGGTCACGCTTGGCTCCCCATCTGCTACACTGAGCACCGATATCTCTGCAAGTCCAGAGCGCCACAGCGCAGCGTGTACACGTGAGTCCGGCACTCCAATCACGAGCTATAGAACAGCTCCAACAGCCGCGTTCAGGTGAGTATCATTGAGGCTGTTCGGTCTTAGCGAATGTTGAGCCTGTGCACTTATATAATGCCGACTTCTATCGATTCGCATAATCTCAGCTTCATAACATCACTCAACACCACTCGCGGTCTTGCAATCATGAAAGCACTTTCGTGCCTCGTGCTATACTTGCTTCTCGTGAACTGCGTCGCTTCGATGCCCATGCTCCATGCAAAGTTGCCGTTCGCAGTGAGTGCAGGATTCTCAATCACGCCCTTGCTTCCCAAGCAAAGCTGACGCCGACGCTGTTCGATGGCATGATTTGCGCAGCATGCCCCACTGGCCAAAAGAGCCAAGCAAATTTGCGGATGGAAAAAGGAATTCGGCTTGGGTCCGGCCTTGGTGTATCGCTCCCTCTTCGCTGTATGCGACCAGCCAGCAGGCAGCGAAAAATCCGCGCCAAGGGTTTCTGGGGGCATGCCAACGCCAACGACAAAATCGCCCACGCGCACATCGAAGCAGAACTCTCCTGCGCCTCTACGTGGAGATAATACGTACTAGGAAGATGCAGTCAAGCCTTGCCATTCCTCTTCGCGTGAAATCTGGCCTGGCGCATCTCGTGACAAACGTTCCGGCAAGTAGCACTGAAAGGCAGACGAATCCTCTTGGAACGGCATGACCTCGAGCATCCCTATACTGGTCCTCGAGTACGCCAGGGATTGCTGGAGGTGCTTCGACGAAGGCGGAAGAAGGTCGGGCATCGGGCTCAATATTGAAGCACATGCCTCTTCCCTTCCCTTGGGTCTCTTCCATTGAGCTGAACGGCCTTGATCTCGACCTGGCAGGAAAAGCAGGGGTGAAGGCGACGCTACAGCCCTTTTTCGGTTGCTGCCGATACCTCTTTTGCAAATGCATGCCCGATCAGATGCAATGCGCAACACCACGACAGCTCCAACAAATGGAGCAAAGATTGGGGGTCCTGCAAGGTTGTTCCTCATCAACCCCAAGTATGTCATTTCTTACCGTGCGCTGTGGCCCTCGCAGCGATGCGTGCAGTCCTTCAATTTTCTTGCTCGGCACTCTGAAGGCTTTGGGTGGCGTTTGTGCCACCGGGTGCAGTCTCTGGTCGGTCGCAAGCGTCACTTCGGTACAGCTCTGCCCGAATATGCAGAGCGGGACTCATGGCCTGGACAGAGTGTGCTACAGTAGCAGACTAAAAGCTTGAATGTGTCGGAGCACTATATCAGACAAAGCGCTAGGTTCGCATTTCAGCGCTGGTGACACGAGGTGAGGTGCTGGACCCTGCCGACCGAACTTCTGTCCCGTAGATCTTGATGAACTGGCGGCTACGCAACGCGCCTTGAAGACCTCGACGCGAGAAGCAGACGTTTGCTCAGGTCGTTAGTATGGTGATCAGAGTAGGCACCCTGAATGCGACGCCCCCCCCCTTGGATCTCTGGACACACACTCGTAGCAAGCGTCAAATTTCATCACGCGCGTAGGATAGAGACGCTCCGACATTGCCAAATGCATCGTAGCTGACCCTGAGTTCGCCACTGTAGGGTTCGGATGCGTCGCTAGGAATTATGGGGTCGAGGTGGCAATGAAGCAGACTACTGGGGTGCCCTGTATAGCTAAAGCGGACGTTGTCGTTCGAAATGTAGCGCCGATCGGTCTCGTAAGCAGCTGCTTTCGCATCCGCTTGTCCCAGAAAAGGCTGTCATTCGAGCCTATAAAGAGCCTTTGTGAAAGCGTAGCCCCGAATCATGATTGCTTCCTCAAGAAGCCAAAATCCAGAGCAAGTCATCTTGCTCCACAGCTTTCACAGAACTTCCCATCCTTCTCAGGCCGGTGCAAGTTTATCGGTAAGTGCTCGCTGGGTAACTTTCTGCTTGCGTTATCGTGTCCGATTTCGTGTGTCAACGCGATCTGACCACAGCTCCCCCTTTGTGCGTACAGGCCTCACGCTTACCCTCCGAGCAATTTCAAGATGAAGTTCATCTTCGTTGTTGCTTGCTTCATTGGCGGGCTAGCTATCGTGGAGGCTATGCCAGTCCCACCATCGGACATTACGATCGTGAGTGCAACGCAGATTTCCGGCTGCTGGCATTCTCACCTCTCTTACCCGAGCCTCTCGATCCTGGCCCATTCATCGAATACCTCCAAATGTTCAAGGACATTGCCTCTCTGTCTAAGCGCACCGAATGCAAATACTTTGAGCCGGGAGGAGTGGGACCAGCTGTTTTGCCCCAAGGGCCCTTCAAGCCTTGCACAGGTCACCCATGACCAGTGGTGTGACCCTAATGCTCTGCGGAGCATCACGTGTCAATTTGTGCATCTTGTTCCCGAACTGCGATCCAGCACTCAAGATTCCAGAGTATTGTGGTCTCTTCTTAGAACGGCAAGCAATTCATGCTCGATTCCGACCACGAGTGCTCCCGATCGTGCGCTCCAAAGTGGGTGTTTGGTTGGGATGGTCATTGCAAGGCGAAGGATTGATTGACGATTGCGTGCAGTGTTGGCACGGCAGTGGGATGCTCGCCTGCTTGCGGTATCATGATCATGAGTGGCGTTCCGTGAGTGGGCAGCCACAGTGTCGGTCACTAGTCAAGCAAGAAGTCGATGTCAGCAATCGTGAATGCGGAGCGTGCTTCTCAAGACAGCCGCGCATATAGGAATACCGGCGCAAGGTGGATGCTTGGCTGCTAGTCTCGGCTCGTGGTCTGTCCGATCGTTGTGAAGAGCTTGATGCCTCATTGCCTCAAAATGGATGCGGTTCCGCGGTAGTGTAAACATACATATTATACGCCCCTCACCTGGGTGCACAATCACAATGAATCACAATCACGAGTCACAAAACACAATCCACGCAGGTGTGTATGTTGATGTCTCTGAACACCAGACGACCGCAGCAGAGCACGCGAGGCGTTCATGTGCTGTGCTGGGCGTGCACAACGCCTCAATCAGCTAGTCGTGCCTGCTTTGCAGCAGCTCAATGCGCCATAAGCCAAAGGATCCAACGCCATGCCTGAAAGTATCAGCAAGGAGCACATCCACCGCAGCGATGGGGAGCACTCACACTTAGACGGCCTGGTGTTTTCTTGGGCGGTGGCTTGGAAGGCTGAGGTGCGTCGAGGAAGTAGCCCCAATCGAGGTAGGAACTTTAAATGCGGTGCGTACCAACGCGGTCCCTTTGGACAGACGAAATGGCCCAACGCCATCAATAACACAGTCAGGTATATGTGGAATTCTTCAAAGGCAATGCATATATGCAGCCGATATGCGAGGTGGCTGCTTCATGACTGCAAGGATGGTGAGTGTGAGTGTGAGTGTGAGTGTGAGTGTGAGTGTGAGTGTGAGTGTGAGTCCCCTAGCCCGCTGCATGGGGTATGCCTGCAACCGGCGTCTCGTCGAAAGGTACAAGTAGTGCCCAAGAGCCCTGCCCCCTTCAAATGTAGCATCCTCCACTCCAAAAGCTCAAACACTCAAACGCACCAGCAACAAGCTCGTTCCGACTCTCAACCAATCTTGTCAAACTCGAATAACACAAAGTGAGTGAGCGGTGTCTTCCTTGGACCCCATCGTCTTGCCCACAAAGTAAGCAACCTCTTTGTCCTCGTAAAGTCGAGCCTAACTTGAACATTCAGCATGAGGCCTATGCTCCTTCTGATCGGGCTCGCCTTCAGCCTCGGCGCTGTGGCGGCCCATCCAGTCCCATCTTCAGCTCCTGCGACGGTGAGGAAGATGACAGCCTGAGCGTTGCATCCTCACTTGTCTCTGAGCTGCCATGAAGACCCTTTGCGCCCTCGTCAGACGGATTCGCATGCCTCGAAGCGCTGACAAGAGACGACCGTACAGCTCGACCAGCGCGAGCCCGAGAAAAAGAAGAAGAAGAAGAAGAAGAAAAAGTGTCCTTCTTGGCCGAAGGAATACGGTCTCGGTCCGGCGCCGCTCTTCGAGGACTGTATCTAGGTGTGGTCGGCATCGTAGCAGCCTAGCGCAAGTGTTACGCCAGATTCGTGCTCACTCGTGGTTTCTGCAGCTCTCGTGCTTCCAATGAGCATGAAGCTAAGACGCTGTAAGAGTTCCGCACATCCAGGCACACTGCAGTGTCGCTCGTGAACCATGCAATTCTGAGTCAAAGCCCGCCGACCCGGATGAGGCGCTTGAAATCACACCCGAGTGATTCCTCTGGGAGACTTGCTTGAACGATTCTACCCCGTCCGAAAGCTTTTGCAAGGCTTGACACCTGTGAGACGGAGAATTGGTGGGCGAAAGGACAACAGAAATACCTCGTGCCTCTTTCCCTTCCCTTGCCAATGGTAGGATATTGCTGCTGTCTGAATTTGCGTTTGCGAGTGATCTCCATCGCGCATCAGCCACCGGACCTGGCGAGCGCGGCGAGAGCGCCATGGCCCTAGATAGCAAGAGAAACGAAGGCAGCAGCGCGCTTTCTTTGAGGGCAGTACTTGTCCTTTGATTCAGCTGTCGCCTCTGTATTCCCTACTGCCAAGATGCTGCCTACCAAGCCTCGAAACGATGACAATCCTCCATATACCTGACAACCACGGCACGGCGGCAGTGTACCCGGACGAGAGCTGGGAGTGACGCCGCCGAGTGCAGCCTTCTGGTATGCTTATGAGTAGACGTGTAGCAACGACATTGACGCGAATTTAGCACCGATCGCCATAGCGCTGGGTGCAGACGGAGCGTGCCTAGGGCAGGTCATCAAGCCACGAATCACAAGGGACGTCGCATTTCTGTCTTCGTCCCAGAGCTTGCGCTTGCAGATGTATATGCAGCGGTTCTCCGAAGTAGCTTCTCGTCATTCCCGTGCACCGCTATGAAGGGAGCAAGGTGGCGATGGAGATCGCTCTCCCAATTTGCCCAGCCCAAAAACGCGCCACCTGATCGTAGGACCTTCAATCCGTCATGACGAGACATCGCGTTCCTGCAGGCATACGTGGCCAGCTCATCGAGTGCCAAAGAGAGTTGCGTTCGCGTCGGCTTTGCCGTCGTGCGAGCGCGTCCAAGGAGACAGGACACCTTTTCGCTCCTCAATCTTGGCGCCGCTACTCGTGTATCACCATTGCCCGGCCCTTCCTCCCTCTCCAAGGGGTAAATCAAACTCGAGATTTCCGAGCTAGTCAGGGTCAGCCCAGAGCCTGGTCTAAGCCCAACCTTCAAGGTTCGTTCCGCAAATTCCGCATGGGAAGAGAATGTTCCGGGTAGCTCTAAGTGGCCAGAGCAAGGGAATGTTCCGAGGACGTCCAAGTATGCAGAGCCATGACACCTGGCACGAGGTAGATGCCAGCCACGCAGCGTTACTGCCTTGGCGACTGCAGCGACATAAATCGCCTCAGAGCTTCTTCACGACCTCGCCCCTCCATCAACATCGCAGCCAGCCTCTCCTCCGTCATTCAAGCACGCCTTGCTTCACCACCCGAGCCTACGTTGCCGGCGTCACCTTCATCAAGAGCGCGCAGAAACATTCTTCGTCGTAAGGCAAGCAAAACAAGTGAGCAAGTATAGGCGCGCATCAGCGGTGCTGATCGCTGAGCCTCTCCTCTTCCGCTGGATCGCAGGGACGGAATCTGATCGAGATCAGCATGAAGCTCATCATCGTACTGCTTGCCCTGTTCCTGAGCTTCGGCACCATGGCCGCCCTCGCGAGGTCGCTCCCTACAGAGGAGCCAAAGAATGTCGGTATCAGTCTTGTCATCTCTACGCTACAAGGTCGCTTACCCCCTTGGCTGCGCCGTATGACGAACATGCCCGTGCAAACGCAGATGCAGATGAACAGGCGCGAGAGAAAATCTGGCGAGAAGATTTGCAAGGCAGCAATCAAGAGCAAGAAAGAAGAGTGCGAATCAATGTCTGCAGGCAAGGAGAAGAAGAGGTGCAAGGCAGAGGTCGTCGATCTAAAGGAACACTGCAAGTTCGGGGCAGAAGAACCCAAGAAGCAAAAATGCAAGCCCTTGCCTGTCGGACTCGGGGGACTGGGCCCTCAGGTGCAGGAGAATGGGTGCCCCTGAGTAGTTGTGTGGGGGGGAGGGGGCGAGCCATTCGTCAGGATGACCAGCAGATCTCGAATGCAGCCCTTTTCTAGTAGTGCAATTGAACCAAGCCTCGTTGCACTCTTCATTGCAATCGACTTCCACACCGCTCTTGCAGTCGCCTGTTAGGATGAGAGTCGAAAATGTGATGCGATACCCGCGCAACGCGCCGCCCGTCCCTAAAGGCGGGCGGACAAGGTAAAGAAGATCATGAGGCCTTCCACTGCCTTCGGCAATCTAATCGCTTGACAGTGCTCACAGCACCAAGTGCTTTCGTCCAAATGCTTAGCAGAGGCTAGGGCGGGGTAAGCTCCCTCAAGGAAGTCAAGTTCGGGGGGTGATACAGTCTGGATGTCCTCCCCAATGATTGATTGGCAGGTCCGATTGCGACCGAGCGTCCCTTTGCTGTGGTGGGGCCGTTGTCAGTGCGAGCAATGTCATGTTCGGTCTCATGCTTGTGGTCGAGCGATCAAGAGGCGAGAAAGATGTGGTGCCGGCAGTCCATTTCGCCTTCTATGCCGTCTGACCCGGCTTCAACTTTGGCTAAAAAGCTACGCGGCTTCCATCTCGTGAGGTTCGTGATCCATACTCAGGCGCACAGATTATACGTTTCTGCTTACGATTGCATTGTCGATTTCCACCACGTCAAGGTACTGTACAGCAGCAGTAGCAAAAGCGAAATGCGCATCCCTTCAAGTTCCAAAAAATTTGCCCAACATGCTGGTCCTCATTTCAATCCTCAGAATCTGTGTTTTGCCAAATATGACGATGCGCCTCCTGCTTGCTTGCTGTGACGTCGCGAGCGGGAGACTCTGCAGAAACTCAGTGCTGCTGCTCCACAGCACGCTTGGCGCTCTCCTGCTGCAGAGAGCCTTCGCGAGGTCCCTGATAGTTGGTGAATGGGCTGGAAGACATGGATACGAGGCGTGAGCATGAGTGAGCGGGTCGTCAAAGGTCGATTCTGCATGCACTCACTAAGCAGCAGCCGCCAGCAAGAGGACTCCGACCATGACGACCCAAGAGTAGTTCATGTTCTGCGCCGTGAGCGGGCTGACGGTGGGTATGACAAGGACGACGCACTCAAAGACCGTCCAGATGCAAGCGATGATCCGAATAGTCGTGCCGAACCATCCCCAACCCATCCAAAAGGGTCCGGGCTTGAAGTTGACATCCGGATGTCTTCTGAAGATCATGGCGCACAGGATGGGAACCATGTAGGACAAATCCATCCCCAGCGCAGCGAGGGAGAAGATGGCGGCTACAGCTGCGTAGGATGCGAAGCTGAGCAAGCCGAGCGCTGCGCATGCCACCACGACGAGGATGACGGCGGGCACGGTAGAGCCGCGAATAACCTTGGAGAAGATTCTGGGCAAACCTCCGTCCCGAGAAAAGGCGTAGAAAGACCTGGCATTGGCTTGCGTAGCGGTCTGGACCACAAAGAAGGCGACGCTGCAGATGAAGGGCCAAATGACCAGGAAGGCCACTCTGCCTCCTCTGAGAAAGACGATCTGCGCGAAAGCGAGCTCTCCGGGAAAGGTGCTGAGATCTTGAGATGCTACGTCGCCGCTTGCAAACACCATGGCGACGTTGAGGAAGAATCCAAAGAGACCCGTTCCCGCTACGGCCACAAAGATGGCGACAGGAGCGGCAATAGCTGCTCTCTCGACCTCTTCAGAAATGTGTGCAGTAGCCTGAGCGGGCGCGGGTGCGGTGCTAATCAGCATGCTGCAAGGCCCACTGTTTGCTGCGCAATCTCGCCGACTCACATCATAGTCCGTCATGACGAATTGGACGCAGGTCAATCCGACCAGGAAGGCGAAAGCGTTGCTACCGTAACCAGTGCCATCCCTAATCTCGCCAAAGACGTAAGAGCCAGTGTGCATCTCCGCAGCTGGCGTGCGAGCGAGGACCAGAACACCAGTGATGACGGTCATGCCGAGGTTGATGAAGACGTAGGAAGAAGTGAACCTGGCCAGCCAGCCGGTTGGGAAGCAGTTGAGGATGCCGTGGAGGATGAGGAGAGCGGCATATAAGCCATACTGGTGTGGGGGGAGGAAGCAGGGAAGAGCGCAGAACCGAAGCCGAGCGTGTCAGATGGCCAATGTCGCCAAGCTCCGATGGGAGCGTGTCGACATTGCGAGGGTTGTGCAGCATGTACTCACAGTGGCGCCCACGCTGGCAGAGTAACCGGTCAAGACGTAAGCCCAGGCAAAGATCATTTGTGCCAATCCATACTCGGTTCCAGCAATACCAGCGATTTGACCGGTGAAATTGAGCCAGCCAGTGAACCAAGCAGTGATGGCTCTGTACCGCCTGGGCACGACGAGGCCAGAGGCAGAGTAGAGACCGCCTGCTGATGGGTAAGCGGACACGAGTTCTCCGATTGCTGCGCCCAGAGTGAGGTTCATGATCGCCCCGAGCATCCATGCGAACACGGTGCTGGCTGGTCCTCCCGACAAGAAGGGCAGGTTGAAAGTGGTCGCTACGGAGGATATGAGACCCTGTGGCCAGTGTATGCGCATCATCCAAACGTCAGCATACATCAAGCGCGCGCGCGCCATTCAACGCACCATGATGGAAAAGGCAAAGGAGATGGTGGACAAGCTTTTGAATTCGCGTTTGAAATCGCTCTTGTAGCCCGTCGTGGCTTGCAGAGCTGCATCGTCTTCGTTCAATGAGCCATTGTCGCCATCATTGGCGGGTGTAGCAGTGACATACACATCCTCCTTGGCATCCCTCTCGTATGGCGGAGCATCGCCGCCGGCCGATGCACCTTTGGATTTGAACAGACCCATGACGGGTGCCTCGTCGTGCACGTTGTGGAAAGGCGAGGTGTGGATAGGATGTGATGGACTGAGGGAACGGCGGATGAGTGGTGAGTAAGAAGCAAAGACGAATGAGGATGTGACTGCTTTTTGGTGAGCGCAGGGAGAAGGAGATAAATGTTGAGGAAAGGAGGGAGACGTGGCTGATAAGAAGAAATCGCGACGCTTCTCTCTCTCTCTGCTGTGCTGTGCTGTGCTGTGCTGTGCTCGCTCGCAGCAGCATCAGACAGGCTGCAGTGCAGTGCAGCGAGTGCTCCATAAAAAAAGTCGCAGTCTGAGTCCATTCCGCGGGTTAGAGGGGAATCACCAAAGAACAAATTCAGCGGGCGGCTGCTATGGGCCAGCATGCAGTCGGTCATGCACGAGTAAGTATACTTGCATGTCTACACGAAGGCCTGGCCTGCAGGTACTCATAGACGGCTCTCGCGCTCATGCTGTATACCATCGATCACTCGCAGAAGCAGTCACGAGTGTGAGTTCGAGGCTTTGGTCTGGGCTGCTGGACATGCATACATTTACAGACACACATTACTAATCCTATACATGTACTGTACACATTTGCTGCTTTTGACTCACGACAAGCGCTGTGCCTGCATGGCCTCGTGTGGCGCTTTATGTGGCACCTCGTGCGTTCTTTATCCGGTGCTATGCTGATGCATGCCTGCATATATGCGATCCGGCAATCCCGCTGCTGATGCATGGAGCTCCACGTCGGTGATGCGCCAAGAACTCGCGACTCGCCACTCGATCCACTCACCACTCACCACTCACGACTCACGACTGCCGTGTCCGCCAATAGCCATGTGACTTTTCTGATGCTCACAAATTGGAAGCACTGACTCGTGAGCGCTGATCTTGAGTGTAGCATGAGATGGTCAAAAGGTGAGTAGAGGGTCAGCTGATGCTGTGGAGATGTGTTAAAGTGATCCAAGATCCATCATCAATCTTCATGACAGTGCTGGTACACTACACAGCAGATGGTCTTCATTGCAAAATGGAAGGGAGACGAAGCAAAAGACCGCGAATACTAGGGAAACATGGAAGGTGGAGATGGCAAAGATGATGGAGATGGAGATGGAGATGGAGATGGAGATGAAGGCGAGCAAGAGCCGAGCCGAAAGAACTCTTGAGGACAGCATTAGGGCGATGGTAGCAATCAGCGTGACACCTGATCGCCTGCTTTTCGTCAGCCTCACCACCAGCAACTATGGTCTTTCGACGACGTAGCCGGCGGAGACTTCGTGCATCCTATTATTGTCATCCTCAAACTCCAATTGATATGGCTTCGCCAACAATTCCTGCGTCCTCGATTTGAGCTTGGGGAGGGGGCAGTCCGTCAAAGATCACGCGAGACCACGAGAGCATGTCAGAAGGGGAAGCATACGTGCGGCTCACTGCATGACCTTCCTTTGCAGTCTTGACTCACCTTGGCTGGGTTCTGACGACCAGTCAGACCTGGACCTCCACCCAAGACCTTGGCGCGGTAGAAGCATGAAGTGTCGGGATACATGCCCATCACCCATTGACCTACTGCATAGTCTTGTGGTGGCAACGTAGCCACACTCTCTGGTAGCGGCACGATAGCTTTGAGCGTCGTGTTTACCGTGCTGTCGGTGCACAGGGCGTGAGCAGCTTCAACGTATCAGATGCGCGATATTCCCGTGTCAAAAGAGGGCGAAAAGCACTCGTGCTACTCACGGAGAATTGCGATCCTCTGCGTCCTGCACGACGTATCGATTTCGATCGTTGTTGATGCATTCCATCACAACAGCCAAAATCCAAGTCTCTCCCTCTTCTTCAGTCTGGTTATTGTTGCTGTTGCTGTTGCTGTTGCTGCTGCTGCTGCCGCTGCCGCTGCCGCCCGTTCCGCCCTTTCCTGCGCCCGCGCCACCTTGCACACCAGACCCTTTGCCATTCGTTGGTCCACGCTCCGAGCGAGATTTGGTCGGCTGCCTAAAGGCCACCCTGCGTCCTTTGGCCAGAGGCAATTGGGCGTGCAAAACTTCTCTGCGCGCTTTAGCAGGGTCGACGTATCCCCGTGGCGTTTGCCTGCTCTTGCTCGCGCTTGGCGTCGCGCTCACATTGGCACTCGATGTCGACGTGTTGTGCGTGTCTCTTGCAGCAGAGCCGATTGCGCTGTTCGAGCCGCTGACAAGATTGGACGATGAGTCTGATGAGCGGAGTGCGCTAGATGTGGCTGCTGAAGAAGTGGATGCCGAACCGCTTGGGGCGGCATCAAGCGTAGCGCCAAACGCTCCTCCCCGGTTGTCGTTCTTTTCATACGAGTGTTGCGAGGCGCGGCTTACAGGTTGGGGCGGGGGCGATTGCGCAGGAGCAGGTGTGAGCGAGGGGGACATTGAAACACTGGAGAAGCGTCGCTTTTTGCGTCCCATGGCTTTGGCTGGTGGATCTAGGAGTGTTCAAAAAAGCCGTCCGGGCTCAGCGTATACCAGCGCAACATGGAATCGAGATGAGGCGGGGGGCGAGCACACACCATTTGCAGCGGTGGGACGCAGCGCGTTGAGCACAGATAGCGTCTCTAGAATCTCATCGGCCAGTCTGTGTGGCGGGTGGGCATGGAAAGCAGTGTGAGCAGCTTGTTGGGCTTCTGGGCAGGCCACACCACATGGACTGCTTGCTCGCCGTATCTCGTCATCCACAGCTCGCAGAAGAGCTGCCTTGGAATCGGCCATTGCCGTTCTCGCGTCTTCAGCTTCATCGTCACCTTCGCCCTCTTCCTCTTCATCCACATCCATCTTTCCCTGATCTGCAACACCATCCGCAGTCCGAGTGTCATTGTCCGTCTTGCGCAATGTTCCCACTCTATCCAGCACCTCTTGCAGCGTCGCGCGATGTCGATTGAGATTTGCTTCGTGAGCCGACTTGGCGACGCGAGCTCGATCAAACTTGCGCAACGTCGCCTTTACTGCATCCCACGTGCGTCTCTCTTTTGTTTCACCAGGGGTGCTTGCGCGTCAGCGAGGCGAGGCGAGGCGAGGCGAGGCGAGCGAGCGAGCGCAGGTCTTCAAGCATTCATCCGACTTGCTGCTGCTGCTACGTCGGCCCGCTCAGCACGAACGCGAGACTGGCAACAACTCACCTTCGGTGGACGACGCTGTGGCAGACCTGTCCTTGCGCGATCTAGCCGACATGGGGAGCGAAGCGAAGCGAAGCGTCGGGGCAGGGGAGAGGTGGTAGCAGAAGCTTGCCATACACGGATGGGAGGAATGTGAATGTGAATATGCAGAAGCAGCGTCGATGGACAGAACAAAGGGCGCAAGTGCGAGGTGTGACAAGCACAGATGAGGTGTGTGGATGTGGATGTGGATGTGGATGTGGATGTATGTTGTGGAGATGGTAAAGACCAAGCAAAGCGCAGTTCGAGGCTGTGGCAGCGTCTGCTTCCGCAGTCAATTGCTGTGACGCTCGTCACTCGTCACTCGTCACTCGTCACTCGTCACTTGTCACTTGTCACTTGTCCTGACTCTTCAGAGCTGCGAGGCGATGCAATCAGCAAGGCTCTTGCTTGACAGGAAAGGACAGTCCGCTGTCGACCTCGGATCTGCGAGCATAGGCGGCACAAAGGTGATCGATCCATCAGTCACAGTCGTGAGTCTCACGTTGCAGGATCGCAGGCGCTGTGAGAAAGCCAAGACTGTGACTGCGTGCACTCCTGCACCTGCACCTGCACCTGCACCTGCACCTGCACCTAATCCTCACCCTCACCCTCACAACCGAGAAACCTCCAATCACGAATGTAGGAGGTGTCTCAAGTCGTGGATGCTCACCCCGGCGCTATGAACCCCTTTTGCGTGCGTGCGTGCGTGCGTGCTAGCTACTGTATCGGGACTCACCGAGCTGCTCTTGTTGCCCACGTGGCTTTCGGAAAGCTTAGCAGCAGAGCGCCGAGCTAGTCTTGTTATGAGCACTATGACTCACGACTGATGTCAGGTAGCATGTGCGTGTCCAACCTCGATAGCGTCCGAAAGCAAGGATGAGACCAGCTTCATCGACGCTCCGGCCCTTGGCTCCACTCACACTCTTGGCTCGCGAGTCGCGACTCTCGACTTCAACGCGTTGACCTTACACCGCGGTGTATTCGTGATTCCCCCGGCTGGCGCGCCGCGGTGCATCACGTGGGGTCAGCCATGCAGCCATGCAGCCATCAGCGCGCATGCTGCTGCAGCAGCGGCACAAACGCGCGATCCACGTAGCGGCGGTCACGTGTATCGACTTACACGCGCCGCGTTGGGAAACGACCGGATGATCCCATCGCGCCTATCGCGGCCACAGCAGGCGCGCACCCTTCATCCTCAGAGCCTGCAGCACCTTCGAACCTTGATCTTTGACTCGTGAATGCTTCATAGGCTTCACCAGCCGCTCGCCTCTCAGGTGCGGTACAACGACGACGCCTCGCGCGACATCGCCATCACCAACCAAGCGCGTACCAGCGCCATCGTTTAGCGCCTGTCTGAGACTCTTCCTTTACGCGCGCAGCTCGTCCGGCAGCGTCTAGACCAGAGCGCAAGTAGAGGCCCGCTATTGATCATCATTCATTTCAAACGACTCGGCACGTGTGCGCTTGATCGTGACCTCAAGGCCGTGGCGCGCGACTACTGCGTCCACGACTCTGTCTGCTCAGAAGCGAGAGCGCGAGCAAGCCTTTGGGGCAATCTCACGACCTCATCTCATACGGTGCACCGACCACAAGGAGATTGGGTCGCACACGTGCAACATCAGCGCAACGCAGCACCTCACAAGCCATCGGCTCCGCACGCACATCATGCAATCTGGCTCGCCATTTCAGCAATCGGCGGTGCCACCTTCTAGCGGTGCTGCGTCGGGAGGTGGTAGCGGCTCACCTGCCTCTTCTTCTGCACCGCCGCCGCCACTTGCGCCCAGCAGCGGCCAGCAGAATCAGGGCAGCAGCAGCCGAAAGCGCAAGCCGTCATCAACTCAGACCTCCCAGCTGAGAGCTCAAGAAGCGCAAATGTACGAGCAAGCCAGGGCTCAGCACATGCTCGCTGCTCAGCAAGCTCAAGCGCAGGCTCAGGCTCAGGCGGCCATGGGACACCCCGCTCACATGCACGGCCATCCTCTACACCAACAGTATCCCGGGCAATTCGGCGGCGCACCCAACACTCCCCAGCAGCAGCAGCACGGGTATGCTGGTTCAGCGACCGCAGGTCACAGCGGCTTTCCTATGCAACAGGGCGGGCACGATCATCACGGCCAGTACAGTCAGCAACAAACGGGTCATCCAGCCCAACAGCAGCAGCAGCAGCAAAAGTACGGCGGGCAAGGCGCGATGCTGGGCAGTCAATCGCCAGCTCAACATCCTCATCCTCATCCCCATCTCACTCAGCACCCGCACGCTCAAGTGGGTCAATCACCGCGAATGAATGGGCCCCATGCCCACCACTCGCATCCTCCTCCTACAGCAGCGCCTCAAGGCGGAGCACCGGGTCCATACGGTCCGCGAGGATCTCTCGCCGCAGGTCAAGGTGTGCATCCGCACCCTCACCACGCCCAGCAGCCACACATGCATCCTGCGCACGGTCAACCCCACCCTGTTCAGCCTCGCAATCCTTACCCTCAACCAAAGGTTCCCTCAGAGATGGCTGTAGGTCTGGCATTGGAGGACGAGCACTCGGACTTTTTGCTCGATGAGCTGGACAGAGTGTCGGCCAGGGACCTTGCCATGGCTAGGTACACCCGCAACCATTCCCTGCTCGGAGCCATCTTCGACGCCAGGCGCATCGGTGAGTGCGCGCTTGCCAGCGAGGCAGCATATATGCGCTCATTTGCAACGCTGACGATGATAATACGGCCTACCGTGTGTCGAAAGAGGACCTTCGTCCCTCGCCTTCGCCGTACGCTGTGCACTCCATCGCGGAATTGCAAGCCAAGCTGGAAAAGGAGGCGGCTACTATTGCGCCATTGGAAGCTGCGCACCAAGCCCGGGTGCAAGAGTTCAAGACAGCAATTGACGCCAAGACAATTGCAGCTTCGCTCGGAGCAGAGGCCGAAGTCAAGCGGCACAAGCAACGGGCGGCTTCGAGAGCGGATATGGATGTTTCGGAAGAGGCAGACGAGATGCAGGTTGATCCTGACCAGCCGTCTCAAGAAGAGGCCGAAGAGCCAAGATGGGCTCGCATCACGCGCGAGAGCCGGCACATACATTCGAATTACGTCAGGGCGCCAACACCAGAAGAGATCAAGAAACTGTTGCCTGCTCCGGCACCGAAAGAGGACTTGACGCCGAGAGCTCCGACTGTGCAAGAAGCTTCAGCCGTTGCTGCTGCTGCAGCGCCAGCACAGAGCCAAGCACAAATACGGGCAAATCAGGGTCAGGTGCTGGCGCCAGAGCCTTACGGCAAGGATGCGTCTCTAGACGCAGCTCCTCAGGATGTGAAGATGACTGACGAGACAGTTCAAAGCGCTGCAGGAGCGGCGCAAGCTCCAGGCACGGAATCCGCACCTGCGTCTGCAGCTGCTCCGGCCCTTGTTCAGATTCAGGATGCTGTCTCGACAAAAGAACGCAATGAAGAAGCCCAAGATGACGGGGACGGTGATGGTGATGCAGATGCGGATGCAGATGCAGAGGATGAAGGCGACGCGGGCGTGCTTGATACTGCAGGGGCCGAACAGGCCTCTGGGGAGAGCGCACCGATCGGACTGCCACCGGCACCGTCCACCGAGGCCCCACCCGCTGTGGCCGCTCTTTCTGTCGACGCTTCGGCACAAGAATCAGAGCCTACCGACTTGCTCAGTACTGTCGCGGCTGTCCCTGTTGCGCTTGCAAATGAGCCGGTTGCTGGCAAGAACGACGCGAGCATTGAGGCATCCTCAACGTCTGCGTCCCTTGAAGTCCCTGCCCCACCTCCGGCTGCAGACCAAGCAACACGCGCTCCCTCCGCTTCGCTAAGTCAGGTCGACGCTTCAGCGACAAAGTCAATTGCCGACATCGACACGTCTCTGCCCGAGCAGCGTCAAAGTCTGGCCTCAGATACCATCGTGCCCCTGGCATCAACTGTCGACGAGCACGCGGTAGCCGCGTCCGAGATTATTGCGCCTGCTTCATCACTGACGTCTTTACCGGACACTTCTGCTGCGGCAAGCTCCGTATTGTCGAGCGAGATCGATCACTCGATGGTCCCAAATGCGGGACTGCTTGCGCCCACGGAGGATGCACCACAGAATGCGCCCGGTGATCAAACGGTGCAGGCAATGTCGACATCTTCGCCAGGAACGCTGCAGGCAGGAGCGTCGAGTAGTCCGTCAAATGATTCAAATGCACAACGATCAGTCCATGGAGCTTCAGCGCAGCCCATAGCAGGCGCCGAGGGAGCGGAGGGAGAGGCAGCAACGACCTTGAGCGCCTCAGGCCTCGCTTCAGCCGAGGAAGGGGTACGAGGCGGGGCAGGCAAGGAGACGACTACGGAAGCTGAATTGGCACAAGCTCATGCCAAGGGAGTGCCGGACCCCAAAGCTTCGAGGGAGGCTGGAGAAGCCGATGCGCCCATGGTACCAGTGCAAGCCGAGGGCGAGCAGCAGAATGTCGACGGAGCGCCCACGGCATGATCAATCGAACTCAATTGGGCCTGCAGGGAACGGTGACAGGACTGTAGTCGCAGCCCAGAGGCTTTTCTTTAGAGACGCTCGTGTATTTTGAAATGCAAAACGGCGCCGATGCTCAGCGGCTGCTACAATAGCGTGCGAACAGATTACCTTTTGCGAGAACACAGCAAAACGACATCTATTGCGTGCCTGATTTCGACGTCGTGACATGCTAGACCTGTGCCACATCGCTCTGCGCCCTACGTTCCAACTCGATCCACGCGTCGAGCGTCTTGGCGTACACCTTTGTCCATTTGGGATCAGGTTGTGCAACTAGGCTAGCTGCATGACCTTCGTCTCGCGCATTCGCTGCGCCGCCTCCAATGCCCACGACGATGCCCCGCCTGACTCGGCTGACAAACTCTTCAAAAGGTTCACTCGCCGCATCCTTGTCGGCTGCAGCAGTATTGGAAGAGGCAATGTGGATGGCAGTGTGCCTGCTGAGCGCCCAAGCTGCCTTGTAAGCTGCGCCGACCGAACAGGCGTTTCCCTGTGTTTGCGCAAGGTACACTTTGCAGCCCATCACGTCGGCCACGAGCTGTTGGATGGCCGGATTGTGGCAGGCTCCTCCAACCAGGTGGACGGCGTCCAATGTCAAGTCGGACTGGGCGGCGTTGACGTTGGATGAGGTGGTGGTGGTGGAGGAGGAGGAGGAGGAGGAGGAGAGGTATTGACGTACTCGATGACGGTAGGACATGAACTGAGATTCTAGAATGTTTAGCGCGTCCGAATCGGACCACGATTGCTTCTGTTGTAGGTAATGAGACGAAGAGCCGTGCAGTTCGTACCTGACCGTTCCGTGAGCGCCGGGTGGCTGTGCGCGGCGGGGAGGGCAAGGGTTGAGAATGGGGTTTCGGCCAACAAAGTCAGAAGGCTGGGATCGATGCACAGCTAGCAAAAGCGATAGGGAGACGGAAATGCGGAAACCTCACGATGATCTCTTGCCTCAACCAGTAGAATGCCGCTCGGCGCGGTAAACCCAATCCGGCGGATCTTGCGTCAAAGACGCTCTTGTTGAAGTGATCCCAATCAGGCGGCTGAAGCGTATCTCTGATCGCCTGTCTCGCTAGACTTCCATCTGGGGAGAGCGGGGGGAAGCGTTGCATAGGCGGCGATTCCCCTCGGTCAACACGGCAGACTGTATGAACGCAACAGGCACTCACTCTTGTAGCACAGCATGCTCATGTACCTCAATTCCGCAGTGTCGGTCTCGCACAGGGCTGGATGGACAAATGTGTGACCATAGACTTTTGGGTTGTAAGTGTGCGAGGAGAGGAGAAGAGTGTCGGAAGTGCCGAGGGAGAGGACTGCTTGCTTGCGCGGCACTGCATCGCGCCAGCCGAGGCAGCGGGCGAGGAAGCGATGGAGGGATGAAGTTGAGCGCGTCATGTTCTTCCGTGAGGCGCGGCGCAAACGTAGCCGACGGACTCACACGCAAACGATAAGAATGTCGCGGGATTGTCGCCAGTGCCGGGGCAGACGATGCATTCGCTGTCGAAGCCGTAGCGCTGCACGAACCACTTGCCGATCTTTCCAATCACTCTTCCAGCGTCGCACTCTACCTCTCCCAGCATTCGCTCTAGCCGTTTCGCCTCTTCTTGAGAGCCGGCCACCTCTTGCAAGAGCGCAACGTTCCAATGCCTCTTTGCAGCAGCAGCAGTGGCAGTGGCAGTGGCAGCGACACTGCACCCGTCGTCGACATTGCGATGAGATAACTGCCAGAGATTCGTGCCGCAAGCATCCGACTCGTCGATGCCTTGATGCGTCTGCGTCAAGAGCGTGCTCAGCGCCGAGCTGACCAAACCGATGCGATGCGTGCCCTTCCACGCTTCCGCATCTCGCTGTCTGAACTTCATAATCTGCTCGCCAGAGAATCGCGTGTGCGCCGCTGATCCCGTCAATCTCGTCAGCGCTTCATCTCCCGCTTCTTCCGTGTACTCTGTGTCCAGGGGACCTCCTTCTGCTGCAGCACCAGCTTGACGGAAGGCGCATCGCCGGAAAGCGTCGCATTGAGATGTGGTCGAGGCATCTTGCCAATTGGGAACGATGGATCGCGAGAATGCGCCTTGCAATTGAGAAGAGATGGTGCGTGAGGCGTCCAGGCGGGCCAGCAGATGCGTGGATGCATCAGACCAATACACGGTGGCATGTTGCTATATGTGATGACGTGCGCGTGCGTGTACGCGTGGGCCGCAGCAGGTATCGGTACCGGTATACAGATGAGATGATGTTTCAGATCAGCATTCACGATTACCTACAAGCCAAGCCAAGCAACGCCAAGCCACTGCATGCGGCGGCGGCTCGTCTGAGCAAGCGCATTCACGCAAAGGGCGGGCGCTCGATGCGCTCGATGCGCTGCATGCATGCATGCATGCAGGCAGGCAGGCTCACCTGTCCACTCGCGCTTACAGCCTTGACGCGAGCCAAGTCCCATCGCTGCTGCTTGAGCTTATCCAACAGCTCATCCATGGCTTGCACAATCATCTCCACGGGACTCCAAACCTCATCTCCCTGTTCGGACACCAACACTCCTGCACTCGTGCCGTATTGCGGTAGATCGCTATCAAAGTGGATCGATGCTTCGCTGATCGGCTCCAGCGTCTTGCCACACAAAAGAGACGCTTTGAAGGACTGCGTGGAGCTGTCCAGACCCAGGACGAAGCCGTGATCGTCTGCTGCTGCACTTTGTGCCCCGTTGCTGGCACTTCGCACCATCTTGGAATGCTCGAGTAGTTCGATGGCGTTGATGTGCGCTCCTTCGACCCTGCGCGCTGGAAAGGCAAGCGCAGTGCGTTGACAGGTGCGCGCACGATACGCTCGCAAGTGAGAGACAGAGAGATGGGGGAAGCGAGTATGCTGCTCAGAAGCACTTTGCCCTCGGCTTTTAATGGCGACGTGGACGTTGTCGGTGGATCACCGTTCGCAGGAGAGCATACAGCAGCAGCAGCAACAGCAACAGCAACAACAACAACAGCAACAGCAACAACAACAACACGAACGGCGAGATCTCCGAGACATGCAGTCCGTCGCCTTTTACCCCCGCACTGGTCGGACTCAAACTCGAAAGCGCTCGGCAATCTTGCGTGCTGCAGCTATAGCAAACAGATCACGTGCTTGAATGAGTCGAGGTTTCGAGCGCGCGCGGCATTCTTGCGCGTCGATGATGCGACTTGGATCAGATCGAGAGCTAAAGATGCAACATGCACAGAGATGTGTGTGATGGCGAGCGAGCGGGCGAGTAACTTGACGCCGCGATACCTCGGACCCCAATCACGCGCCCGCCTTCTCAACTGGCTGGGTGGTACGTGATGGTGGGACTCACGACTTGCCGTGCCGTGCCGCAACGCCGCGCTCGCTCGCTCGCTCGCTCGCTTCACTTCACGATTCGTGACTCAATCAGACTGTTCATTTCAAACGGCCGAACTCACTCTTGAAAGTGTGCGGGCTGCGCCCACAGTGTCACAGTGTCACTCTTACTGCGACACATTCAGTCTGAATGACTCAAATGCTGGTCGGTCGAGCCTTGACAGTTGCGAGTCGCGAGTCATGAGCCCGTGCCCGTGCCCGTGCGGTGATCGAGCAGCGTCTGCCCGTCGAGCGCAAGGTTTCAATTTGCAGAGAAATTACAATTTGAATGTGAATGCAGCGTGGCGCGAATTCGCGGGTGCGGGTGCGGGTGTCGCCTCCACATCACACACACACGCTTTAAAGGTTGGAAGGGGGGTGCGCGCGCTGCACCTCACGCACACGCACTCGCGCACGCACACGCACACGCACACACACACGCACACGCACACACACACGCACACACACACGCACACGCACACACACGCACACGCATCATCATCCTTCATTCCACCGTCACCTCTCGCCAGTCGCACATCACTCCCATCACTTCCACACACTTGCACTCCTCATTCTACGCCTTGCACTACCCGCTTCGAAATGTCGAGCACACAACGAGAATACGATGTCGTCGTGCTTGGAGCTACGGGTGAGTGCACGTGAACAGCGATGCGATGCGATGCGATGCGATGCGATGCGATGCGATGTATGCTATGCTGTGCACGCGCTCTGACACAGCGCCCCTGTCCTGTCCTCTTCATCCTCGCAGGCTTTACGGGAAGCTTGGTGGCCGAGTATCTCGCGCGTCATCCCACCCATCCACGTTGGGGCATCGCCGGTCGCTCTGCCGCTCGTCTAGACGCTCTGCGCAAAAAGCTAGACTTGCCCACCTCTGTCGGCATCCTCAGCGCCGACACGACCAACATTGCCAGCTTGCAAGAAGTGGCAAAGAAGACCAAAGTGTTGGCCAACATTGCAGGACCATTCAGAAAGACGAATGGTTACGAGGTGGCAAAGGCTTGCGCAAGTGTGGGAACGCACTACACTGACCTCAGCGGAGAGTCTGGATTCAATGCCTCTCTCCTCGAGTGAGTGGGCCAGGCGAGGCGAGCAGTCCTGCGGCATGGCATGGCGTGGCATGGCATGGCAGACACTCACCCGCCCTGCCTCCATGCGCTCTCCTCTCCTCTCCTCCGCACACCAGACTCGGACCGCTGGCCGCTTCGACGGGGAGCATCCTGGTGCCCTCTTCAGGCTTCGACTCGCTGCCCCTGGATCTGTCAGCCTACTTTGCAGCTCAGCACCTCAAAAAGAGTCAAGGCGTATCCCATGTCGACACTACTCGCACAGCAGTGCGTCTGGATGGAGGCTTCTCCACCGGAACCATCTTGTCGGCTGTGGATGCTGCGGAAATCGATGGCGGGCAGTTGCAATTCGAGCAGCCCGATCAGCTCAGTCCTGGTGAGTGCGTGGATGGAGGGCGTGAATGGAATGCGTGGATGGAGTGCGTGGATGGGAGGAAGAATGTGCAGGAGCTTATGCTTTCAGGTCATCAGTGCCCGAGTCGCTGCTGCTGCTGCTGCTGCTGACATCTTGCGAGCTTCGCCTTGCCGCTTTGCCGCTTTGCCTGCAGTCAAAGGAACGCACATCATGCCGTTCGATGTGGCCCTCAGGCTGCCGCAGTTTGGACCGAACGTGTACGGATCTTGGTTCCCCTTGACGCCTCACAATCATCGCGTCATCAATCAAACTTGGGGTCTGCTGCAAGTGCACTCGCAAGCTGAAGCGTACGGACAAGACTTTGCCTACCACGAAGCCAGCCTGCTCTTCCCTCCCAAACGCGTGCCCTGGCCTCTAAGCTATCTCTTGACCAGCTTCTTGAGCCTGTTCTTTGTCGCTCAGATCAAAGCTCTCATCTGGCTCGCTCCCGTCAGGTGGGCTCTGAGGACATTTTTGCCACAAAATGGAGGTCCTTCCAAAAAGGGCTTTGCGGATGTGCGGGCCTTGGCCACTGGAAAGGACAAGCAGGGCAATGTAAAGCAGAGCATCTGCAAGATCTTTGTCCAAGACAGTCCAGGTGAGTGGCAGGCATCTCTCTCCAAGCTGCTCGTGCAGGGAAGCCATCGACGACTCAACGACTTGCGCGCCACTTGACTTTATCGCTTCAGGCTACCACGCAACAGCCCGCATGATCAGCGAAACTGCTCTTCACCTCGCCTCCACCTCGAGCGCAACCACAAAGGAGAGCTCCATCGGCGGCCTGCGCGCCAACAACTTCAAGGGCGGCATCCTGACCACGGCGACGATCGGAGCTGAAGCGCTAAGGGACCGCCTCACCCAGTATGCGGGGATGACCTTTGATGTTGGAACATTTGATCAGCGTAAAGTTGATGCCGTCGCGGTCAAGAGCAGGGGCAAGGATCTCTAGGTGGAGCGGCTTGCGTCGCTATGGGATGCTGCCAAAGTTGATGTAGAAATCACGAATCGCGAAAAAGTCGCTCCAGCGATGGCTTGTGCAACAGCATCAAATTGCAGGTCATCAAAGTTAACCAGACTTCTCGCAAGTGGCGTGACGATGTTGAGACGGCGAGGAGCCAAAGCAGACTGCCTTTCGTCTGCCGCATCGCTGCGCCCTCTTTGACCGTCTCCCGTTGTGCGTCGAGCGCGCGCTAGACATGCACCGAGGAAGCTCCTCCTGTCCTGTCCTGTCCTGTCCTGGCGCAGGCCTTTGTGCAGCTCCTCGAATGGTGATCTTGTCGATTGGCCGTGAATGCGCCCCAACCCCGCGCGCTGCTCGGCACGAGACGGTGTTGGTCCGAGGCCCCGAGCAGCTTTTGTGTAATGTGCATCCTCATCCCTTTTGCCGCCATGACCCAATGCCAACGACGGTGCTGATCAGTGATCTCCATGCAGATCCACTTTGACGTCGAAGCCAAACACCGCGCTCAGCTCTTGGTCTAGCAGCTGCTGCAAAGTGACAGTGATTCCCTCCTTGTTGGAAAACCACTGCTTTGCGCTCGTATCGTAGTCGAATCTTTTCGGTCCGCTGTCCGGATGCGGGTGATTGGGAGGGTCAACGAACGCAACGGCCAAGTGCTTGCTTGCACTCGGACATGCTCGGTGCTCGCACACACACGCACACACACTCGCACACACACACACACATACCTCTTGGGACTGCTGAGCCAGATCTGTTGATTGGGTGGCTGCTTGTTGATCACATAGGTACCTGCTTGCCCCAGTCGGAGCGTCAAGACACCCGACTGCCCCGCGCGCATACCAGACGGAGATGGTTGCAGCATAGCCATCGTCAGTGGGTGCAACGAGAGGACGCATTCAC